CCCCGCCCCCCCCCCCAGCCAATGGCCGCGCCGGGAGGAGGCACCGCGACCACCGGCCCCGGGGACCTGTCCCCGCCCGGGGACCTGCCCCCCGGGACCCGCTGCAGGGGCTGCGACCTCCTCGTCCGCACCGCTCAGCTCCGGACGCGGGTGCACAAACCGCACCCAACGCCGTTTCAAGTCCGGAGGATTGGCATCCCCCAAACCCAAATAAAGGAAAGGTTTAAGGCAGGTCCGCCCCGCCGGCTGCAGCTCCGGAGGGTCCTGCAGGCACCGCCAGCACCACCCAACTAAAAAGGTTGATTACTGTCCTCTGAATACTAACTTCCTCTGCAGCTCTTCCACGTTTATAATGCCTGTATTCCATTGTTTGACTCCAATTTTTGTCCTGCTTAAAAGACAACAAGTAATTTTTAGGGGACTCTAATTTTGTCATACTTAAGGAAGATTCATTTTAAAATTCATCTGCAACTGCTTTCAACACTGTACCAATTTTTAATTGCTCCAACCAATTGCAAACATTGCTTTTAATACAAACACTTCTAAGCAACACATTATTTGTCAAAGCTCAGACTTTTAAACCCAATTAACTCATCCCTTAATTCATGCAAATGGATGCTGTTATTCCCCGATTAAAGACTCAGAACTTTTGTTCACTTCATGTTTCCTAAAAATAAACCCAGTAACAGAAGCACAAGCACCGAAGTTCTCTTGCACAGACACTCCCGACGTCCCCAGACACAGAAACAGCAATTTAGATACCAAAATACCAAGCACAGAGCAGTGTGCTGGGCTACAGATCAGCAAAATACACGTGTCAGGAACGGTGTCGGAGGATTTCACAAAACTAAGTCATTAGAAACTACAGTGATTTCAATTCCTTGAGTTCCACGAGGCAAACCACAGGCACAACTTTAATAAGCTGCTCCTGGGTTAACATCTTGTATTTCGAGTATAGCCTGGAGCAAATATTCAAGGCTGAATGACAAGTCTGTAGAAATGTGAAGCGGCATAAAATACAGCAGTGAGAGGGTGGTTTGCAGGAACAGTGTGAGAATTCCAAGTCCTTCCATCGAAGGATTTAAGAAAAAATTAAGAGCCCTTCCGATACCTCAGAACTGCAAATGGCTGCAACGACAGATTTAATGACTAAATTTAGTCCCGAGTACAGCTCTAAGCCATAGCCATCCATACCATGGGCGGAACAATAGGAAGCGATTTTTATTCCTCCACTTCCCACTCCTCCTGTGGGGGAGGAGGAGGAGGAGGAGGAGGACAAACACCAGCCCGCACAGGCACGGCAGCAACCCTAACGCTCCCTCCCCTCCCCGGGCCAGTTTGTGATGGGTACCTGAGAAACACAGGGCCAAAACATCTTAGAATGGATGCTTGAAAGTCTCAGAGATACAAGGGCAGGTTGGATAGGCAAAGGTAAAGCCTAAAATTAAGTGGACTGCAGAAACTACATGCTCAGTGCATTCTGCTCCATGCAGATTTGAATGTTGGCAACTATTAGAACTTCCAAATGCTACAGTGGCCAGAGTCACCTTGCTCAGGAGTCAGGTCCTGCTGATGTCCAAAACTGCAGTGCCTATCACTCTGTGCTCAGCGTAGCAAACTCTGACAACAAGCACTCATGTCAGCCAAATATTACAGGTCTCATAGAAGAAATCCAGATGCTGCTAAGCAGGTAAGAAGCAACAGAAAAATCAATGGCAGCCTCTGCTGGTTGGTTTTCAATGCAGGTAAAGCACTTCCCCTTTAATGAATTATAATTAAAGGGACAAAGTGATTCAAAAGTAAAGAAGCTTGAGTTCTTTCTTTGTGGAAATACTACCAGGCTTTATCACTTCAGCTACACCTGGAGCTCAACTCACAGTGGCATTTTCTAAGGAGCAGCAGTGCAAACTCCAACAGCCTAACTGTGCTCTCTGGTACTGTTTTTTACGTATATATTTGGAGGCAGGTGAAACTTAAAGCAGAAATCAGCTACTTCTGAAGAAACTATGCAATTTTAGACCAAGTTTTACAAGATGGGGCAATACTGGAGTGTTCTATTCAAGGCAGCACATTCAAAAGCTATATGGAAAAAGTCTTCTGTCTGTAGAAACCCTGGCACAGTTTTAAACAAAATGTGCTTCAAGATTTATTTTTTATTTGCATATAAAGAAAAGGAACTGAGAAAGAGAGAATAGTTACTTTGGAAGAACTTAGTGGCTGTTACCAAGGCAATATTTCATATGGTGCATAAATTCCATAGCTGGTTACAACCAGCAGAAGGACTAAGCACTCCTCTTCAAGCTGAATAGAAGGAGAATTTCCACACCTTCTTTACGAGTTACCTCAGCTAGAAAGAAGTTAATATCTAGAAGACAAGACTCACACCATCTGATCCCTGAAAACAGAGTTGTGGTAGGATCTTGAGGACTGTGTATGAAGAGGCCTGTGAAAGGAGTGGTGATGAGTGTGACCCTGGTAAGGAAGTGAGATAAAGCTTCTCAGGCAGAAGTAGTCCATCCAGAGATAGATATAGAAGCTCCAAGCAAGGAAACAATCTATTACTCCTTTTTCCAATTTGGAAAGGAATAGGAGTATTTGTTTTCTAAATATTTTTTGTAAGACTGATAGAAGCAATTCCTGAAATGAAAAGAAGCATCTCAGTTGCACCGCGATTTCTAGCTTGAAGTCTTTCAGGACTCATTTGTTAAAATATGGGGTGGTCAGCTGGATGAAATGGACAACAATAATTTCTGCAAAATCATTTAAGACGACACTGATCAGAGCAGGGAGATGCAGCTGAGAGTGTGTGATGAAAACATTACTAATAGTTATTTACTTAGATGCAGACCTGACTGACAATGTTGATATAAATACCAGCTCCTTATCTTTTCTTCTTCCTCTTCTCTCTTTTTTTTTTTTTTTAATAGATATTGTTTTATTTTATCCACTTTCTCCTTAGCCTGTAGAACAATGGTGATTCTTCAGTTTATTTTTATCTTAACCACCTCTGGCAATTACTAGCCTACCACATCAAAAGG